CGATATTAATAATTGGTCACCCGATCAAAAGAAATCATTCTTAGCTATTTATTTAACCGATACTGCTATAATATTTTATGAAAATTATGAAAGGGAGAACCCCTCAGTAAAATGGCCTGACCTAGAAAACGTCATGCGTATTGAATTTGAACCCACTGCATAAAATCACATGCTTAGAATTATGCTCTCTAAACGTAAACAACTCCCAGATGAGTCCATTGCCTCTTTTATTAATAATACCGAAAAATTATGTAAGCGAGTAGATCCTAAAATGTCACAATCCGAGTTAGTATAATAATATAATGAAAGGTTTACATCCAAAAATAGCTCGATATGTCGGTATATTAAACAACAATAGTTTAAAAGATTTAAAAGCTAATGTAAGAAAATACGAATCCGTTGAATTTATGTTACAAGGGGATACTAAACAATCGAAAGACGATATAAAACAGCGAATAACTAGCGAAAATATTTATCAAATCGGTGAGCAAAATAAAATGCAACAACAGTTAGATAATATAATTTCACAAATTTCTTAACTTCAGTTTTTTATCACTAAAAACAATAATGATAACACCGACAACAGCAAACGTTTATTTAATGGCACGCGGCAAGAATACTATAATACGCGTCGAAACAACAACAATTTACGTTCGGGAAATAATTATTTACGTCCAATATTTTATTCACGTCAAAATTATAACGATACTCGCCCAAATAATTATCAACAAAATAATACGCAATATGCTAATAGAAATTACAATAATAATTATAGTCCCAGAAATACATATGAGCGAAAGAATGATTGTATATATTGTAATCGCAATAATCACAAATCGGAAAATTGCAACTTGATCTGTGATTTATGTAATAAACGATATCATACAAGGGAGAATTGTTATCTCAACAAAAATTCTAACTACCGAAAAAACACGCGCCAAGGTCAAATGTAATAATTGGAGATTATATGCATTCACCTTCTTCTCCAATTCCAAATAAAAGTACTAACACTGACACAAACAACATTTTTATAATTCTAAATCGCGATAGAAAAGCTAATGCATTATATATTTTAGCTAAATTAAATAACGAACCAATAGAAGTCACAATAGATTCAGGTGCAAATATAAATTGTATAGGACCTGACCTCATAGATTCATCTAATATAAATAAAAATCACAATTATAAATTATCCGGTGCAGATAAATCATCATTAAATTTATTGGGAACAACCACAATTAAATTAGAAATAGAAAATAAATTTTATCAAATTCCAGTGTGCGTTATAGAAAATTTAAGTAGTACAATTATATTAGGCAATGAATTTTTATCTCAACATAACGCATATATAAATTATGCTAAAAAAGTGTTATTTTTAAATGAAATCAAAACCCCTATAATAAGTAGTAAATTTAAAAACACAATAGAAAATATAAAAAAAAACATGCATCATATAAAAAGCACTAATTGTTGTAAACAAAATAACAATATCAAAGAAACATTTGTAGATATTATAAATATTCCCAATAATTACACCATAGCTTTTTGCACATTTACTGACCTAAAATATAAATCTAAAATATTTGAAAATTTTACTAATAAATTTGGTAACATAACGGATTTGCTAAAAAATACTAACATATATTTAGGTCAAGTAAACACAATAATATCTGATAAAATAATACACTTATTAATAACAAAAGAGTTTTGCGATTCTCAGGCTNACAAAAGAGTTTTGCAATTCTCAGGCTTCATACCTAGATCTCTACGAAAGTCTCTTTAATCTAAAAAATATTGCTTTAGAACAAAAGTTTCCTATTATAGCATTTTCTTCCGTAGATTTAATTTGTGATGGCCTATATTGGGACACAATCAAAGACATGATATTTGAAATATTCCAAAATCAACCGATAGATATATTAATCTGTTACCCTATACTTTCAATACCTAAACACAATAATGGCATTATATCTAACGTGCAATGTTCTATAAAAAACATTAAGAAAAACATTAATTCTATTATTAATGATACTTCTACATCAAAATTTATGAATGTGTTTTCACAATATCAATTAGGGGAAGATGTTCCTACTGACGGACGATGTGGAATTTATGCGTTAATAAATTCTTTGAACTCATATGGAAACCAAATTACAAATTTAGCTAAAATTGAAAGGTTACAAATATATAAAAATCAATTAATTGGCCGCAACGAAAAATTTGTAACTTTCATGGCGTTTTACAAAGTTATAAGTAAAGGGTCGCCAACCTACTGGGCGAGACAGTATATTGTCGGACCACAGTAGGATTTAAAAAAAAAATATATATAATTAATAAATATTAAAGTTGATGTCCGTTGAGTCGTTGATAGTAGATGTACACCAAAACCTCGTGACAGTTGTCACATAACCATGTTAATGAGGGATGGCCTTATAGAATGCCGTTGCCCGTACCTTATAAACTAGGGGAGTTGATTTTTGAAAGGAAAAAAAATACACGAGTCCATTGAAGATGGAACACGCAAAAAAGAAGAAAAATCTGATGGTTAAGTTAAATTAAGGGGACTTTATTAAGTAAAAAAAAAACAAAAAAAATTAAGTTACTACGAGGCAAAAAACCGAATGATCAAAAAACCTCATCTACAAATTAAAGGGGACAAAGAAAGAAAAAAAAAACAAACAGATATTAATAAAAAAAAACTAGTTACACCTACACTTTTATTATTAGAGAATACGATGAACGTCTTCGGGTACCCGCCGGCTATTAATCGCAGAATTGCCGCTAAACACGGCGCGTATACGTCCCAAGTAAGCGACTGGTTTTTGGCAGTTAGGCTTAGCTTGCAAGACGTTGGGACACCCCGGAATAAAAATGCATTACGTCACCACATTGTACCAATAATATGTTCATCGCCCAATAAAATATATTATAAAACCTATAAAAAATATATATAACATGACAGCTGGTATTGGAACACGCCTGCCATGTTGAGGGACCTAAATAAAAAAATATAGGGACACCTACAAAAAAAAACTATATAAAAAAATATAAAAAAAATTCGTCACACGTGCTTATGGCACGGCGCACTAAAAAATAACTGACTCAAAACATTATATAATAACCTATACATTACCAGCCCCGAAGGGCTAACGAATATGGAGGCAGGTTTAGCCGACGCCATTAAACACAAAATTTACATAATTAACGAACA